TATATATATATATATATATAATCAAATAATCGATATACTGTAATATTTATTTATACATTAAACTATTAACTAAATTTAATTAATTAAAATTTTCCCGGCTAAGAAGTTAGATACCGAATAAAAGAGTTATGTTTTAATAATGAATGCTTAAGTGTTTAAATCTGTTTCTAATGTATTAAATTACGTGTCTAAATTGTCGTTATATTTTTAATTAATTCTCAAATTTTTCTTTAGTCTGCGAAACGTTTGGTAAGTTGCATAAAGGACAACATTTTGGTTAATAGTCATGGATAGATATCGGATTTTTTGGGCAAAAACTCTATTGCTTTAACGTATATAGACACACACACACACTTGATTATAAATATTCTTCATGACTGCGATATTATCATAATTACATTCATGGTTACCAAAAATGACTATCTTAATATTAGAGAGGAGAATATTTCTACTTTTAGTAATGATCTTATTTTCAGGTTTTTATTATGTTGGTTATTTACAAGCTTGTTTTGTTGTTGAGTAGTGTGAAGAAGAGAGAACTCTCATATTTATGAGCTCGGACACAAAGCAAGCACTGCCAGAGATTTGTATTGCCCTATTTGCATGACACTGTTTCAAATGACAAGTCTGTTTATCCGCTTTCGTTTACTTTGTAGATACACTATGGAATGGGGAATTTAAATACACTATAAAATGGGGAAGAAGACACAAAATTGTATCACTCATGCAACCAATTTTCTTCAACGAGAAGAATCCTTAAGAAATCTTAAAGAAAATGTTTAGAACTTACAAATCCGAAATCTAATCGCGACTGTCGATATGCACGAAAGAGTGTGCGAGTTGTTGCTACTACAATTATGAAAATATATACATTTTAAACTAAGCAAATCCAAAATTAATGTGGATTATTCGAAATACTTCTATGTTATTTAAGAGGTTTTCATGATGGGGAATTACCAGTAGCCTAGTTGCAGTATCAAAGACAAAGAGAGAGTGGGGATTGAGGCGGTTGCGATTTGCATTGGCATATCATACGGGTTTGTGGATTTATTACATTTTAGAATAGCATTTAGTACATTATGGATATTTATATTTCTAGTTTCCATAGTTAACGTGTCGTAATAGTTGTTTTCAATAGTATCTTGTGTTTATCAATATTTACTGAGTGTGTCGTGTTTAATCTATGTTATGAAATTGAATTTTGTCCGTCAATAGGTTCATTCATGTTCCGTTTGTGTTCATTGATCCTTTCTCGTAGTTTATAGATTTATATTTATATTTATTCAGTCAAAAATTTTTTTTTGTTTGTTCAACATATTTTAAAGGACAATCGGCACACGAAATTAATTACTTACTATTCTGTTTCTTTCAAGATATTGATACGATTTGTTTAATTTTTTATCAACATTTCTTTATTCAAGTGTTACTAAAAAAGGCATATGTTAAATTTCTTGTTTAAATGAGATTTTACTTCATTAGTAATAGAAAGTACGTATGGAAGTTGGAAATAAATTTCGGACTTATTTTCTTCTTGAGCATAATCAGTACATTTTACTGAGTATATGTTGTAAATTAATAAATGGAAAACTCAAGATAAATGAAAATTTCTAGATATAAATGACTGCAGACACTAATTATAAATATAATAAAGTATTTTCAATGATGTATTTTGGTAATTTCAATATTTAAAAAAATGCAAACTACTATTGAATTTAGATACACTCGTTCAAAAATAAGTGTTATCAATGATTAATTAATAAGGACGAAAAATAAAGCAATCACCTCAATTCAAACGGCTGGACAGCGTAAAGTTTTGATGGCTTATGGTTGGGTGTAACTATAATAAGTTTTAAATGCATAGTAAATCAGTAGGAAATTTATCAACTTGCAACATTTTTGAAATGATTTATTAACGTAACTTTATTCTATCAATTTTTTCTCTTAATCATCAATCTTTTCTCTTAATAATCATTTGATGAGTACATACATATTTTTCATTAAATTAGTTGTTAGATTATCAGTGAATGAAAAAATGAAATCATCGGAGAGTATCCACGGCTTTTAACCATAATACATATCCGATGGATTTTACAGCTACACTGAATAACAGCTGTATTTGACAAATTCTTGTTTACATTTAATGCGCAGATTTAAAAATTCTCCCCCTCTTCCTCTTTATTCCGAAAATACATTAATCACTTCTGAGTTTTGCTTGAAAACTCTCCCCTAAAGATTAATGAATGAAAGCCCTTTAACTAATCTGTCTCGACCTTACATGAAAATGTAGGCATTGAAATATATAATTGAAGAGAGATTTTCAAAGGTCAGATTATGTAGCATGTTCCGGCTTTTCACCGCCATTATTAATTAAAATCCTCCTTTGGTAATATCTTAAGAAGGATGGACAAAAGTGCTATATTACCAACAGCGTTTCTCAATGTAGTTCTGCGAACAGAAATATAAATTTCCACTACATTCATTTATTATTTTTAATCACATGATATTTTTATTTAAAAATGATGAAAGCAGCGTTCATTATATTTCGTAAGCAAGAAACTTGGAAGGAATTTTCCAATATGAAGGTACTCTCGTGCTCGTATTTAAACGCGAATACAAATAAGATGAGTATAAACACTCTGCATGCTTTAGGACCACGGAGAGGTATCGCTTCAGCACAAATTACTGTACACAGAGCTCTGACAAGTCGCATTAAAAGCTCACAAATGACGTCACAATTTCAACGACAAAGAATGTCACATCGGTGTTATCACAAATTCAATAAATCCTGCAAGTGGTGTGGAGTGACAAATAAGTATTCCTCATACATACTTATGAGCAATTTCCAGACATGTAATGCATTCATTAGAATAAGATATTTTAAAAGAACTCTAAGAAAAAATTCTAATGACATTTAAAATCTAAAATCATTATCATTTGAATATAAAAAGTTTGCTCTAGTAATTTTTAAAAGTGGAAATTAATACAATTCGTTATTTTCAAATATTATATCACTTAACGTATTAAAAAATATATAACAATTTATCGAGAGAATACACTCTAATGATTCTTATCAAGTTGCAATAATTATGCTGTTTTCATATAATTTTGTAAATATGCAGTAAATTAATTACAATATTCTTAGGCCCAAAATTTTTCTTATTTATATTTCACACACGCATTTTGCAATTAATAAACCTCTAAATCCACGACGGATTTAATTTCAAATTTGTGAGTGAAGGAATAATGAGCACGTTTTCTTTATCGTTTTAAATCGGCCTGTTTACATTCAATTTAATCATACTAAATTCACTAAAAATAACTAACTATACAATTTTTGTTCTTATGTCAATTTTCGTAGACTGAAAATGCATTAACGTCATATCTTGACACCAGAAACATGCGTTGTATAATCATGACTATCGCAATATCACAGTGAATCAGTTCCACTTCAAAAAATTCACAATTAAATATCTCTGAACTTCATGAGAATAAAACTTAGCAAACAGAGGTTTTTTTGTTGTTGTTTTTTTGAAAAATGTACTTTGCTTAAATAATACATTCGTATATTAGAGCCCTGCACACATAGCACTAACTCATTCTATATTCATAGTCACAAAACCAACTGAAATACTCGGACACAAAACATTTCAGATTTCAAATGTTACAAATAAGGTTTGTTAGTGTCTTCATATATAATACAACTATCAAGAGCCGAGGTGGGGGTTTAGGAACTCAAAAACAAGCGCGCAAATTATACTCTTCTCTCACAGGTCAGATACAGTGCATTTACTATCAATAAAT